AACAGGAACTCTGTGCAACCATAAAAAGTGAGCCTTTTTTAAAACAAGTAAAATATATAAATGAAAATTGAATCAGCAATAGTTTTTTATAATGTACCGAGTATGTCAAAATAAAAGTTATGGAGTATTAATTAAAAGAAAACAGTCAAAATAAAAAATATGTGTTGACATTTCTCACGTAATATTTCAGGTAATCCACATAACTTGTGTGGAAGTTGGCCTCTTCTTTTAAAACTAGTTTTTACACTAGTGGATGGTATTATTAGAGCATCACCAATGGGCTGCTCTTGACATTAAAAAAATTGCCCCATCATCACTGTCTTACACTTCGTATATATATATTCTGTTAGAAAAATTGATATTAAAAGTGCGAGTTTAATCAGATAAAAATCTCGAATTTACATAAATCACCAAACAAATCGCCAAATGCAAGAAAAGAAAATAAAAATAAAAATAATATAATTTGAATAAAAGGAAAATTAATAAAGAGAAAAAATAAGAAAAACTTATTGCAGGATCGCCCGTTAAAACGCACTGGCCTTGAAGAAAGACAGCCCCCGTATCCTGATAGCTATTCGGACGGGTCTGACTAGCTCGCTCCCAGGATAATCCTACCACATTTCAGACTTGTAGCTACCTTGACTGAAACCTTCGACCGTTGCCAAATTGGCCGATGGATAGAGTAGTTAACTCAAAACAATGTACGAAAGTTAAGACCAAGAATTATGATTTTTTTTTGGAAAGCAAAAGAAATACGAATGATAAGGCAAGATCAACAGGAGGAAGAAAAGGTATGTTCGTATAGTGACTATCGAGGCTTTTGTTTTCTTCTCACGTATGAATTATCCTCTATACTTTTTTTTTGGAATATTACTAGCCCTTATAATGATATTCAAATACATCAAGTATACTCCGTATTTGAAACATTAAAGAGGGGCAGACATGCAAAGAGCGTCTCAACCGAAATCAAATAAATCATATTAAACCATGATAGGAAACGGCAAAACGGATCCATTTGTAATGATCTCATTAATAGCATTAAGGATAATTATTTTGAATTTGAATTCAGCTTAAAATCTTACTCTCTCCGTATCAAATTAACTGACCCGTTTTCTTTTTCGGGACGTATCAAATTAAAAGTCTCGTTTCTATTTTTAGACATGGACCCCACCACCTTTTAACTTCCCATCATTACATTTTTACATTTTACATTTTTTTCTCCACTTATCCCATTATTCCTCCCCATTAAATCCCCATCCCACCCAACCATAAATCCCTATCCGCCCCACCTTCCCCATTAAATCGGCCATTATCACCTCCCCATTTCTCGAAGTATCCGTCTCTCCCTCGCTCTCTTGTTCAAACCTTCTCTCTGTTTCTCCGGTTTCTCTGGTTTCTCTCTATCTCTCCGTCGGTCTGGGTTATTGCCGCCTCTTCGGTTGTCCATCTGGTTTATCTCGACCGCCCAACCCCTCCTCACAGCCCTCCTCTCCATTCCTAACCTGTTGTCTGTCACCTTATTTCTGAGCTACCAATCCATCGCTCCTTTGCATGGATCCGTATGAGTCTGATTCTGAACTGATACTGCTTGATCAAAGGCTTAATGAAGGATGTCCATCACCTCCTTCAGAGAAATCGAAGGAAGGCCCTGTTCTGAGTAATGTGCCCATTCTCCTAGCGGATCCGGTGCCCATCTTCGATTGTTTTAAACCATACTTCAACAACAAAAATCAAAACTGCCAGTGTTTACCCCTTTTATACAGTGGTCCCTTTCTTTATGCATCAACAGTTGCTCCTTCCTCCACTCCTTCTTGCTCCATTGTCCCTTGTTGCAAGTAGTTCATACATTCCCACACTAGTAGTGGGGGAGGAGCCACTGAAACTGGCAGCATGTTAAGCCTTTGTAGTTTCTTCTTGCCTATGTGTACTTGTGAATATGCATTGCCCCCCTTAACCTTCATTACTTCAATCATGCATAACTGTAAGCTTAGAAATACATGATTCAAGGAATGAGGATTGTATGCAATGAATGAATCATTGCAGTTCTGGACCAGTTCAGAAAAATTTGTTGTTGAGCATGTATCCTTTAAAGACTGAATAGCCCGTAATATGCCCAAATCAAGGATATTCATATCCGGGCTATTTGATGGGATTCATTAGTTGAACATCCCTCCCCATCTTGTGAACTGCCAATATGAATTCATTATCATCTCCCTTGATATGTGGAGTTGCAGTGTCTTGCTCGATATATATTGTCTTGTCATCATTTGGTGGCCACTTTTCATGAAATGAAGGTAGTAGTTTGTTGATGATCATGTTTCTATATGCTACACTACTACATTTTTAGACCTAACGTAACATTAAAGATGTAACATATCTATAAAAGTATTACATATTTCTCTAATGTAACACTTTTGAGACCTAGTGTAACACTTTCTAGAAGTATAAGTGTTACATTAGGTACTATAAAATGTTACAATAGGTCAAATGCAACATTAGCAAATGTAATGGTAAAAAAGTGTTACATTTTCTCTAATGTAACATTTTTCAGTGATATTGTAACACTTATGGGTGATACATTAGGGGTTGAAATGTTGTAGTGCTACTTTGTTCACAACTGGTATCGGTTTTAGTTCTGGTGTGCCCTTAGGTCTGTTTTTGCTATTCCTTTGTGCCCAGTGTGTCATAGCAACATACTCAGACGTGTCTCCACAATAGCTATGACACACTGGGCTGGAGATGAATATGTTGGAATTATGATGATATAAATATTATTTTGAGGGTCAAAATTTTTGTGCCCTAAGATATAATTGTATTAAATATGGAGAGGAGACTAATAATACATCAAAGAACAGCTTATATATTTGGATTTAAATTATAATCCATAGCTGTAAAGATTGTATAGTGATGTATTAAAATACTGAATTTATTTGTTCCGTATTAAAGGATAAATTGTCTCGTATGATTATTTATAATCATTATATGATAAGGAACATTGTTCAAGTATCATATGAGGTGATGTGACATTTTAATTTTTCGCTTGCATGCCAGATGATGGAATTGATGTCGTAATTCTATAGACTCTAATTGTGTGAACAATACAATGTAATAGCTGATAGGATTTTAAGTTGAATTCAAATTCAAAATAATTATCCTTAATGCTATTAATGAGATCGTTACAAATGGATCCGTTTTGCCGTTTCCTATCATGGTTTAATATAATTTATTTGATTTCCGTTGAGACACTCTCTCCATGCCTGCCCCTCTTTAATGTTTCAAATACGGAGTATACTTGATGTATTTGAATATCATTATAAGGGCTAGTAATATTCCAAAAAAAAAAGTATAGAGGATAATTCATACGTGAGAAGAAAAACAAAAGCCTGGATAGTCACTATACGAACATACCTTTTCTTCCTCCTGTTGATCTTGCCTTATCATCCGTATTTCTTTTGCTTTCCAAAAAAAATCATAATTCTTGGTCTTAACTTTCAGGCACACAAGAACTAAAACATATACCAGTTGTGAATAAAGGAATAGTGTATTCCTTTGTGCACAATTAGGTACTATAAATATTAGTAAATGTAATGGTAAAAAAAGTGTTACATTTTCTCTAATGTAACATTTTTCAGTGATATTGTAACACTTCTGGGTGATACATTAGGGGTTGAAATGTTGTAGTGCTACTTTGTTCACAACTGGTATAAGTTTTAGTTCTGGTGTGCCCTTAGGTCTGTTTTTGCTATTCCTTTGTGCCCAGTGTGTCATAGCTATAAGTCTGAGGGATATCGGTTTTACATTAGTGCACAAAAATTTTGACCCTCAAAATAATATTTATATCATCACATTTCCAACATATTCATCTCAAGCCGAGTGTGTCATAGCTATTGTAATGCTGACATGTTCATAACTAAAATGTAAACAGCGTGAACATGGCTGTCTTATTGTAACAGTGCCTTCGACACGCTGAGTCGGCAAATGTGTGAGGGAAATACAGCTGAAATTCTAAAAATCTCCCACTCACGAAAATAACTGCCGCCGAAACAACTCCATCACGACATGTACTCCGTATGTTAACATGGAGCGTTGGACACCTTTTTTGAGTTTCAGTGACACGCTATACTTCTCTTAAATGATGTGGATGACTATTCCATTCATTGATTGTCATGTGTCATATGTTAACAATGGTCCATTGGTGATGCTCTTAGTACACATATAAAAAAGAGATAATTACCCTACGTATGACTAAAACTTGTTCTCTTTCCCAATCTATGACCTAATTAGTTTTTTTACCAACATAATAACAAAATTCATAATATTTATATAAAATTCGTAATAAATAAATAAATAAATAAATTAGGTTGACAAATATACCCTTTAGATTATCTCTATAAAACTACAAGCTCCTACTATTTTCTCCAACCCTAGCCTCCATTTCACCACCTCCGTAGATCCACCGCCTGCAGCCGCACGCCCCTGCCGCCGCCGCCCCATGACCTGCCGTCTCTCGCCGCCCCAGGGCCCACCCCTCACCGCTGTCCAGGAGTACGTTCGCTGCAGCCAGTCGGTTGATTGCCCAGCCACCCTCAGCCCCACACCTACTCGACGCAGCCACCGCCCAGACCGACGCCACCCACCCCCGCCATCATCCCTACAAATGTGCCCCGTCGCCGTCCCAATCTATGTGCGCCACCGCCGTCGCGATCCATGCAATCTACCGCCCAGTCGCCCGCCTCTGTCCGATGCGCTTACCTTAACCGTTGGAATGCTGCCAGGGGCGGACCGTAGTACAGACCCAGTAGGGCTATCGCTCCCCCAACAATTTTTTTAGTGTATATATATACGAACTTTTTTTACCCTCCTTAACAAATAATTTTCGTCCCTCCAAAAAAAATTGAACCCCCCAAAAAATATTTTCGCCCCCAAAACATAGCCACTCGTAGAAACCCAATTGTTTAAAAGCCTAAAAAAATAGAAAATATGGAAACAATATTATATCAGCCCACCCTATTATTTATTCACAGCTCACCACAAAAGAGCTTAGCCCACTGCCTATCCACCTACGAACAATCGGCTTAATTATGTCTCCCTGTTGCAATTTGCCAATAGTCGAAGAACAAAAGAACGGGAGAACGCAGAGTCACAGAACGCTACCTCGCGATTCGCGAAGCCGAGAAGCCGAGTCGTCACCGAGAACAGAGAACGCAAAACGCTACCTCGTGAAGCCACCAGCCAAGCCTTGTTCCGGCGACCGCCGTCCACACTGTGCTTCCGCCGTCCACCATCCACGCCGACACGCCGTGCTCGGTGCTTCTCTCTGGCTCTGCCTCCAAGCTCCAGCTATGGCGCAGGTCACTAGGTCTGTTAGAGCATTTTTACTTTTTAGACTTTTTCTCTCTTATTTTGTGATGATTGTGTTAAATTGTGTTATAATTTTTAGCCTTTTAGAGTGTTAGGGTTAGATGGTTAGTCCTTAAATAATCAATTTTATCAATTTTAGATGGTCATGTCTTTGTGTATTTAGTTTATTTTTCAGTATTTTGAAGTAGTTTTTTAATTTCTTTGTGAAGGATATAATGAATAACTGAAAGATGAAGAAGCAGATAAGCATTTACTCTCATTTTAAGAGAAAAACTGTGGATTCGAGTTGTAGTCCGAGTAATCCGATCGATGCGGAAACTGCAAATGTGGAAGTTACTAATACTTCCAAATATTTGGGTTGTTCTAGTCTTTTATTTGATATCAAGAATCTAGAACGTGATTCCGGAAAACGTCCTCAGATATGGGAATATCCTGTTAATCAAAGAGATGAAGTTATTCGAGCATATTTGGAGATGGGGCCATATCAAATACATTTGGGAAAGTATCTCCTATCCGATGAGAAGCGTCCTCGAAGATTTCAATTTTCAGTTTTATTAGGATGTTTGCTGCAACTTGTTCTGTTTTAGAAGATGTTGAAGAGAATGGTAATAACTATTCTACTCGTGGAAATGCAGTTGGAGCACTTAAGAAGATTAAATCTTTTGATTTTGTTTTCTTGTTGCATCTTATTAAAGAAATTATGGGCATTACAGATCTTTTATGTCAGCATCTACAATAGAAGACCCAAGACATAGTAAATGCTATGCATTTGGTGTCAAGCACCAAAATGTTGATCCAAAAGTTAAGGGAAGGTGGATGGGATAACTTCTTAGAAATTGTTAAAGAGTTTTGCAAAAAGTATGATATTGAAGTTCCTAATATGAAGTCTCTTTATGTGGTAAAACGCAAACGCAATGATCAAGAAGGGTTTGATATTGAACGTCACTATCGGGTTGATATGTTTTACGCAGCCATAGATTCACAATTGTTGGAGCTGAATAGCAGATTCAGTGAACAGATAATGGATCTTCTTACTCTTAGCTGTGCTTTGGATCCTAAGGACTCATATAAGTCCTTTAACATTGATGATATATGTTCTTAAGTGGATAAATACTACCCCTTTGATTTTATTGAGCAGGAAAAGGTAAGCTTGAGCTTTCAATTGCAGCATTACAAGTTAAATGTTCTAAATCATCCGAAGTTGGCGAATTTGTCTACAATGGGTAAACTTTGTCAAGGATTAGCGGAGACGGGGATGTCAAAAGTGTACTTTCTTCTTGATAGATTGGTCCGACTTTTGTTGACTCTACCTGTATCGACAGCAACAACAGAAAGGGCTTTCCAGCAATGAAAATTATAAAAACAAGGTTTCACAATAAAATGGAGGATGAGTATTGATGGAGTATATGCGCCTGGACCCCAGGGCCCACATACTCAGGAGAACAGAAGGTACCACGATCACCTGGTGGGACCCTCATCGGCCAGATGACCCCCATCGGCCAGAAAGAAGTCTACTCAGAATATAGCCCAAAAGCACGGAGAGTCGGGTGACCTCATCGGCCGGGTCTTCGTCGGGCATGCCCTCGTCGCCGTACCCTCGTCGGCCAGAAATAGCCTCTAGAACAAGATTTTGTACTTAATCATTTCTATACACTTTGTATCCGGCCCATTAGTGTCCCTATTGTAAATGGGCTTCCCAAGCCCAAGACTTGGGAGTTCAGCCCTAATTTTCTCTATAAATACTCCCCTTGGGAGTAGTTATAGGGGTTAACAAATCATTTATTACAAAGAGTTATTGCACTTCTCTCTCTAGCTCTCCATTCTCTCTAGATATATAATCTATCATTTGGTGCTCTCGTTGAGAACTAGAACAATCAAGTTAGCCTCCTTCGTCGCTACCAAGCACAGCTAACTGACAATGGGAAGAACTAAGTCCAACCGCAACCTCCTCGGCAAGGCCACCACTGAGGCCCAAGAGAACCAGGAACACGAGGAGGATGCTACGTCCGACAAGGCCGCCGAGAGGGATGTCTTCCAAGAAGCCATCGACCTCGCGGGTGACCTGCGCAACAAGATCAACGGTGGCGCCCCAGACGCCTGTTTGGAAATTGATGTAACGTACCTCAAAAGTACAGCAGCGGAAGTTTAAAATTTTCCCAAATAGATCTTCCCTGATTATGACAAAACAACGAATATAACAATAATAATAGATCTGAGTTAGAACTTACAGATCTTCCAGCCTAGCGGTGATAATACTTGACCTTAGGTATCCACGTGATTTCTCCTTTCCGAAAGAACGGTTGGATCTCCCTAAGAGAAAGGTTAGAAAATCTCTTTGCAGGGAAATAAACTGGTAATACTGAATCTAAAAACCGGTCTATTAATTATGAAGGAGGAGGATGTATTTATACTAGTTCTAAACTAGTTTCCCAATCACAATGAAAGTCTTTCTCATTAATGAGTTGTAGTCCTACTAGGACCAATACTCCTTATTAATGATTTAAATTAATTAATTAAATAAAATAAACAAAACTAATAATGAGTGGAAAGTGGGCTGCACGCCACTTTCACTCTTCATTACTATTCATTTTGTTTTCTCTTCTTTGAATTCCAAATTATAAAGAAAAGTATCACTTTTATTTAATTCAAAAACACATCTTAATTAAGTATAATAAATCTAATTTATTTCACTTAATTAATTACATCAAATAGAACTTTCCTTCAACATGATGAATTAAATATATTAATCTAATTAATAATTAACTATCTTATTTTCAGCATTATGAATTAAACATTATTAAATCCAATTAATAATATTTAACTCCTTCTAACAATTCAATCGGAAGATATAATCACTTGTTGTGTGACCCATAGGGCCTTATATATTAAGCACTAATCAAATTAAGGTCTTAGTAGAATCCCTAGACGATTTATCAAACAAACTTAATATATAAGGACGTTTGAGAGGACTATTCAAACTCCCTGTAATATAGAGCTCATAGTGATACGGTCTTTTAATTCAAAGAACATTCAACTAAGTCTAGTACATGATATTGTGTCTATTCCAATAACTTAGTTTCTGTCTCTCAATCCTTCTAGATGATGCATAACGATCATATTCGATATCCATAACGAATATATCTTAGCATTGGCCAATGACTTTATGATCTATCTAGATATGAGAAGTAAAATGTTCTCTATTAATCTATTACGAGGAATGGATCCTTTCTTGGCTCAACTACTACTCCATGTGCTTCGTGATGCACCCAACACATGTCGTATCTACCTCGATTGGAGTGCAAGCATTGGTCATGGTCAAAGTACATCACTCCACACATGTAGTACGTATTGACCTCAAGTCGGAGGACTATTACACTACTCTATACGCCGATAATCCCATAGACACATGAATAGAACTTATCAAATGGTTTATCTGTGGGTATGCCAATATTCTCTAAAATATCTATGTGACCATCATGAATTACAGGAACTCATAGTTGTGAGATCAACTATACTTTCTAAAAGTATGATGCAGTCCACATACCAATCTTATCGCATATCATCAATATCCCATTCTTGATGATCATTGATTGGGGCTATTTTAGGACCTTATGTTATATCATATAAGCTCCCACTTACTTATTGACAACATAAGTCCAAGGGAACACAATTATGAATAAGATATTTACAATCGAAATACTTAATCATCAATGTGTAATACCTTATATATCAAATATATAAAACTGAATGTGATCAAGTACATGTATCTCTAAAAAGTGATTGTCACTAGGACATATATACTAACAATCTCCCACTTGGCCTAGTGCCAATTACCAATGTGTCTAACACCTAGACTCTCAAAATCCTACGATGTTTCTCGCATCTCAAAGGTTTGGTGAATGGGTCAGCCAAATTGTCCTCTACGGGAGGGTATTTTATTGCAACTTCTCATCTTGCTATTTGTTATCAAAACATGATAGCATACTGGTATTTTCTAGTTCCTTACTTTGCATCGTGGTTCCTTAGCTTGTGCAAATGCACCGGTACAGTCACAATAACAATTATTGGATAACTTTCGCTAGGAACTACCCCTATTTCTTTAAGGAACTAACGTATCTAAACGCTTACCTTTGTTGCATCAAATGCAACAATTTATTAGGCTCTAGTTGCCGAATTTATAGTAGTTTCTTACTTGCAACTCTTTCAGCACTACTACTACATTGAGGCTAAAAACATATACTGAATGTGACTCGTAGTCTTTCTTATCATACATGAAACTAGTGCTAGAATAATTAAATTCTAGTAGTTCTTTCTGTCTACCATAGACAAAAAGATATTCATGAAGATTTTGGGTGACCATTCATTCACGGACTTCAATGAGGGGATATCATTCTCTATGACCAACATATATGATTATAAAGACCACGCTATCCTTGTTGCACACTCTAAACACGCAAGCACCCTCATTTCATTTGATGAGGTCAAACGATTTGACTATTTCATCATAATTAATATTTCAACTTCTAGAGGCGTGTTTTAGCTCATAAATAGATTTCTCTAATTAACATAGTGATTTAAAATTTGATTTGGATGTAAAACCCTTCAGGTTGTACCATGTACACCTCCTCCTTGAGATTTCCATTAAGGAAATGGGTTTTGACATCCATTTGTCAAATCTCATAATCATAATATGCAGCTATCACAAGCAAAATCCGAATGGACTTGAGTTTTTCAACTGGCGAATAGGTATCACTATAGTCAATTCCTTCTCTTTGACTATAACCTTTAGCCACTATCCTAGATTTGTATGTTTGCACCTTCCCTTCAGCATCAATTTTCTTATTGAAAATCCTTTGCATCCAATGAGTCTAACCCCACAGACAAGTCAACCAAGTTCCATACTTGATTGATATACATCAAGTCTATTTTAGATTTCACGGCTTCTCGCCACCTCTCTAAATCAACATCTAATATTGTCTTAGTGTAGGTGTTAGGTTCATCCTTATCAGGAATCTCAACATCATCATGATCCTCCTTGAGGAAGTCAAACTTAGTTAGTTCATGACGAATCCTAGTAGACCCACAGAGTTGAATGTTTTGCATTTTGTTCGGGCTGTTCATTCTGATTGTGAAGAGGTTCTCTTTCATTGGACTATCCAATGCTCGGAGAATTTTCTGGTGCTACACCTTTAAATGTTTCCAGAGAAGGAGAAGTGGGTGCAGAAGGAATGACAACCATGTTATCTCTTTCTTTAATAAGAATTACTTGCTGGTACGAGATGATTCCTATGTTACTCCCACTAGCTGAAAGACATCCTCCTAGAGACATGCTTCCACTCAATTCTCCCACTGAATCCTTGTTTTGACCATCTAACAAGTCTTCATCCTCTATGTTATTTTGTGATTGTTGAACTTCATCAAGTTCTATCCTCCCACGATTACATTCCTTAAAGACCAAGTCTTATACTAGGAATCTCGCTTGTCTGGAAATAATGATTTTTTATTCCTCGGGAAGATAAATTAGTATCCTCTAGTTTCCTTAGGATATCTCACAAAATAATATCTCTCACTTCTAGGTCCCAACTAGTCAATGCCCATTTTCTCCACATATGTAAGGCAACCTTACACTTTAATATGTGTAAGAGTAGGCTTCTTATTACACCATAACTCATATGGTGTCTTTTGCACTAACTTAGATGGAACATTATTCAGAATGTATATCAAAGTTTCAAAGGCGTACCGCCAAAGAGATGTTGGAAGAGACGTGGAATTCATCATGGACCAAACAATGTCTAACAAGGTTCTATTTCTCCTTTCAGAAACCCAATTCAATTGAGGTGTTCTTGGAGGAGTCCATTGTGACCAAATTCCTTGACCTTTCAAGTAATCAAGAAACTCCTTACTTAAGTATTCTCCTCCACGATCAGATCGTAGAGTCTTGATACTCTTGTCAAGTTGTTTCTCTACTTCAGCCTTATACTCCATGAATTTCTCAAAAGCTTCTTATTTGTGTTTCATAAGATACACAAATCCAAACCTAGAGAAATCATCAGTAAAACGATGAAGTAAGAAAATCCTCCTCTAGCTTGAATTGGGAACTGTCCACACAGATCTGTGTGAATTAACTCAAGCACTTCTTTGGCCCGCAATCCTTTTCCAAGAAAAGGTTTATTGGTCATTTTAGCTAAGAGACAAGAATCACAATTACCATGTATTCAAAATCAAATGGTGTTAAGTAATCTAATTTACTTAGCCTTGTTATTCTTGTTTCACTAATATGGCCAAGTCGCAATGTCAAAGATAGGTGATATTTTTCTGATTACTTAACCTTAGTCTCTTATTTTGTACATTTAATATGGCATGTCTACAAGTAAGAATATATAAACCATTCATAAGAGGGAATTTCCATACACAATGTCATTTTGTCAAAAACAATAAGTGTTATCAGCAAAATGAAAGGAAACCCCTTAATGTCTAACATATGAATGGAAATTATATTCTTTGCTATAGAAGGAACAAAATAACAATTATTTAGTTTTAAACTATAACCGCTGGGTAAATCTAATTTATAAAAGCCTACACGACTAGCAGCAACTATTGCTCCATTTCCTACACGTAGGCCAATTTCACCCAGCCTAACTGCTTACTGTCACTTAGACTTTACACATTATTCCAATGTGTGAGCCACACATTGTATCTAATACCTAACAGTGAGAGTTAGTTGTAGACATATTAATATTAATGACAAAAATACAAAGCTAAAAACACTCGGTGCTTTGGCTAGATTAGCCCTACATTTAGCTTAAAACCTC